CCTTCTTCTCTCCCTCTTCCCCTCTCCATCCCTTCCTCTCTCTCTCCTCCCCTTTCCACCCCTCCCTCTCTCCCTCCTCCCCTCTCCATCCCTTCCTCTTTCCCTCCTCCCATCTCCATCCCTTCCTCTCTCCCTCCTCCCCTCTCCATCCCTTCCTCTCTCCCTCCTCCCCTCTCCATCCCTCCCTCTCTCCCTCCTCCCCTTTCCTTCCTTTCCTCCCTCCTTTTCTTTTTCCCCTCTCAGAATTCATGGTCATCCCAGGAGAGGACCCAGAGAGCAACAGCTGGTTGCTTAAGGGTCATTAGCTTGTCGAGTGTGACACGTGACGAAGGAACTATGTTGTCGTCAGTCAGCCCACAGGTGCAACCCCTCTGTGTGTGGGCGGAGTAGTCTCTCATTGCTAGCTCTCGTTGCTAGCCTGTTGCTGACTGCTGGCAGATTCTTTGCAGGGACAGTGGTAGACAGTAGAATCAGGAAAGTAGGAGGAAAAGCAGGCAGATTATTCATTCAGCACTAAAGAATAAAATGGTGATAGATTGTAGGGAACTTTTGACCCTCATCATGGATTTACTGTATTTCTTTCTTAGAGAGAAATGGAGGGGCATGTGTGTATAGAGTAACTGTTGGTGTGTTTGTCTGATAATTTTTGTAAATTATAAACCTTATTTTATTGAGCCCACCATTTGTTTTTGGGAGTTTGTGTGCTGTTCCCTCCAGGAGGAATCTCTGTAATTAGGTGAGTCAGGAGAAGTAGCTATTAATTTAACCAAGGATTTACCAGTGTGTCTTGGCCTTGGGGCTAAGTTAAACTGACGCTTATCTTAGGGTCTTGAAAGATCAAATAGGTTACTCAAGCGTGAGTAGAGGTGCACTAGGTCACCGGACCTGCACTTGTATCTTGTAATTGAATGAAGTTTCACGCTAGTGGTTCTTGAGGCTAAAGGCAATGAGGCTAAGCGGGCTAAGGGCTGGATGTCAGCAAGAACGCATTTAGTTTCAAATGAGTAAATGTAGGACTTGTTGGTTTCATGTTACTCACATGTGTGACAGCAGGAGTCAGAGTAAGAACTTGTCACATTCATATTTGTTAAGGTTTTCGATCATTCCATCCACATTCTATATACATAACCAAGTCACTTGACCTCCACCTCTTTCATATTATCGTTTTCTTACTTATCCATCTTTTCTGCTTTCTCATCTGTGGAGTGTGTTTTGAGAGTTGTGATGAAATGCATCATCTTAGGAAATAAAGAGAGATGATAATAATTCTTTTTCTCTCTCTCTCCTCCTCTTCCTCCCCTGCCTGTCTTGGCTTCTGCAGATTGGTAACTACAAGAGAACAACAAAAAGAATTGAGGATGGAAACAGACTATGCGACGATCTCATGAAGTTGGTCTCGGAAAGAGCGGAGATTGAGAAAATGTACGCGAAGAACCTGAAAGAATGGGCAAAAAAGTGGAATAACATTATTGAGAAAGGTGAGTTAGTATTAATGCTTTCTCTTTTTTTCTTGTTTTTTCCCCTTCTCTACTTCCATTTTTCTTCTCATGTTTTCCACATTGTGTGATTTTTATATCTTAGGAACTGCATATTTCGTCAAGGCAAATTGATGGTTAGAATATGTATGTGAGAGAGAGAGAGAGAGAGAGAGAGAGAGATATTATGTGTGTGTGAGGTTTTGCAAGGAGCTTTCTAACTTGATAAGGTAACAGAACAGATAAGGGGCTTGGTCCTTTAGGCTCCCTTTTGTAAGATTTCAGTCATTTTTTTTCTACATTGTTTTAGTTCAGTTACATGAAAAACATGAAGGTTACAAATTAGTTAGTCATATATCAAAAAGAGAGAATTTCATCAAACTAGATGACATTGTAACTAGCAATTAATTCTGTGTCTGCTTTTAAGAAAATATCACATCTGGAAGTAATATCAGACCTCCTGTTTTTCTTCTTCTTCTTTTCTTTTCTTTTCTTTTCTGTCTTTCTTTTTGTTTTGATAGACAGGCCCTCTGGCACTTTTTTAGACAAGAAACTTTTTTTCAGGGCCAGAGTACGGGACCACAGAAGCAGCCTGGAAGGGAGTGCTGATGGAGGCAGAGCAACGGTGTGAGCTGCACATGCGTGTCAGAGAAAACCTAATCAATGATGTCCACAGCAGCGTCAAACAATGGCAGCGGGACAATTACCACAAGGTAGGAAATGGCAGAATTCGTCACAAATGAAATTCAATACAAGATCATCTTCCATTAAATAAGAAAAGAGGGGTCACTGTCCTATTTTGTGAAAATCTAACTCAAGTGAATGATAGAAAATCACTGTAAATGGTTTTCATCTTGTGGTCTTTAAATCTAGTGATATTAAAGAATTTGAATGCCTGGTGCAAACAGGGAGGCATGAGGTAAAGAATTGAGGATAGCAATGTTCCTGGATGTTTATCACCCAAGCTCCAAGAATACCAACAAGCTGCTTTGGAGCATGGCAGTCGCGTGCTTGTTATCCACACTCCAACCCTAGACCTCCTAAATTCCTCATACTACCATAGTGTAACATCTACAAAGTGATCAACTGATGTTTTGGTAACATACCAATACATTTGATAAAAAGATAGATTTGGTATGGGATAGAAGGCAGCCCGGAAACATCCCCAAAAGTGCTATATACTGCATGCATTATAGCAGGTGTGATGAATTTTGCTGGGGTGAAATAGGACCATTTTTTAGCACCTGCATCAACAAACATTTAGCCTCTACCATCACCTTAGAACTACAACATCATGGTGGTGCACACACATGAAGTTAGACATCTGCATGACTAAAAGAAACAAAATAATCCATGAAAGATTTAACCCCTTGGATCTGAGTGCTTTACAGGCATTAAGCTTACGTGGTTCTTTTCTGCCGGGCATGTGGCTTGTAGGCCAGGTGCACACGAAGGCTCATGTGCAGGGACAAGACTCTATGCCTCCACTTTGCAATATTCTCTGTTTTTATGCATAAGCATTTTTGCTTTTTTGCTATTTTCCAGTGTCCATATTTGTCATATAATTTGCTTTATCCAGATAGTAAGAGACTGTTTTCTTTGCGCAGACTCCTTATCATCTCTAAGTAGTCTAGAAATTATTGCAAGAATATTCAGTTTTCTGTAATACAACCTGTACGGCCAGTTACGCAGTGTTCTTCCAGTTATAGCTCACAGATACTTCATTCCACAGTTTGTCTATCAATGGAATTAATGCAAAATGAATAATCAACCTCCAAGAGTTTGTGCACTTCTGGTGAATCTTTCCTGTAACCCTGGCCTTCAGCCATAATGCTCACAAAGGCAAGTTACCCTGCCCCTCATGCCAAATTTTTTCATGATGTGATGTTCACGTCATCCAGATCTAAGGGGTTAAGAGGCAGAGATTAATCTGACAAATGTCAGATTAATCTTGAACTCATGTCTGGTATATAAATATGGTTTGTAATCTTGCTGTCACAATTATAGCTGATGATATAATTAAAATGATGATGATACACCTCTTGTGATGTGAAGATATTTATTTTCCAAGAGGCTAAAATAATCAGTTCTTAAAAGATGCTTCAAAAATAAGATCAGATAATGTCAGGAACCAGCCAGAATGTCAGTGCTAAATATTCCATGATGAAAATCTTATTTTGATACTACCAATTAAACTTGTAGGCCAGGTGAGATGATTAATTCCATCCATTTTGAGTTGTAAGCAATTTGTTTTGTTCATTTGCCCTGTAGAATCCATAATTAACCTGTTAAGAATGGCTACTTGTACATTAATTCCTTTAACCCCTTAACGCCGGGTGACAGTGATTCGGGCTGATGTACCCTACTCACGCACTCAAAGTCGGCGCGCCGCATTTGTTTGCCAGAGAGTAGAGTAGAGTAGAGTAGAGTAGAGTAGAGTAGAGTAGAGTAGAGTAGAGTAGAGTAGAGTAGAGTAGAGTAGAGTAGAGTAGAGTAGAGTAGAGTAGAGTAGAGTAGAGTAGAGTAGAGTAGAGTAGAGTAGAGTAGAGTAGAGTAGAGTAGAGTAGAGTAGAGTAGAGTAGAGTAGAGTAGAGTAGAGTAGAGTAGAGTAGAGTAGAGTAGAGTAGAGTAGAGTAGAGTAGAGTAGAGTAGAGTAGAGTAGAGTAGAGTAGAGTAGAGTAGAGTAGAGTAGAGTAGAGTAGAGTAGAGTAGAGTAGAGTAGAGTAGAGTAGAGTAGAGTAGAGTAGAGTAGAGTAGAGTAGAGTAGAGTAGAGTAGAGTAGAGTAGAGTAGAGTAGAGTAGAGTAGAGTAGAGTAGAGTAGAGTAGAGTAGAGTAGAGTAGAGTAGAGTAGAGTAGAGTAGAGTAGAGTAGAGTAGAGTAGAGTAGAGTAGAGTAGAGTAGAGTAGAGTAGAGTAGAGTAGAGTAGAGTAGAGTAGAGTAGAGTAGAGTAGAGTAGAGTAGAGTAGAGTAGAGTAGAGTAGAGTAGAGTAGAGTAGAGTAGAGTAGAGTAGAGTAGAGTAGAGTAGAGTAGAGTAGAGTAGAGTAGAGTAGAGTAGAGTAGAGTAGAGTAGAGTAGAGTAGAGTAGAGTAGAGTAGAGTAGAGTAGAGTAGAGTAGAGTAGAGTAGAGTAGAGTAGAGTAGAGTAGAGTAGAGTAGAGTAGAGTAGAGTAGAGTAGAGTAGAGTAGAGTAGAGTAGAGTAGAGTAGAGTAGAGTAGAGTAGAGTAGAGTAGAGTAGAGTAGAGTAGAGTAGAGTAGAGTAGAGTAGAGTAGAGTAGAGTAGAGTAGAGTAGAGTAGAGTAGAGTAGAGTAGAGTAGAGTAGAGTAGAGTAGAGTAGAGTAGAGTAGAGTAGAGTAGAGTAGAGTAGAGTAGAGTAGAGTAGAGTAGAGTAGAGTAGAGTAGAGTAGAGTAGAGTAGAGTAGAGTAGAGTAGAGTAGAGTAGAGTAGAGTAGAGTAGAGTAGAGTAGAGTAGAGTAGAGTAGAGTAGAGTAGAGTAGAGTAGAGTAGAGTAGAGTAGAGTAGAGTAGAGTAGAGTAGAGTAGAGTAGAGTAGAGTAGAGTAGAGTAGAGTAGAGTAGAGTAGAGTAGAGTAGAGTAGAGTAGAGTAGAGTAGAGTAGAGTAGAGTAGAGTAGAGTAGAGTAGAGTAGAGTAGAGTAGAGTAGAGTAGAGTAGAGTAGAGTAGAGTAGAGTAGAGTAGAGTAGAGTAGAGTAGAGTAGAGTAGAGTAGAGTAGAGTAGAGTAGAGTAGAGTAGAGTAGAGTAGAGTAGAGTAGAGTAGAGTAGAGTAGAGTAGAGTAGAGTAGAGTAGAGTAGAGTAGAGTAGAGTAGAGTAGAGTAGAGTAGAGTAGAGTAGAGTAGAGTAGAGTAGAGTAGAGTAGAGTAGAGTAGAGTAGAGTAGAGTAGAGTAGAGTAGAGTAGAGTAGAGTAGAGTAGAGTAGAGTAGAGTAGAGTAGAGTAGAGTAGAGTAGAGTAGAGTAGAGTAGAGTAGAGTAGAGTAGAGTAGAGTAGAGTAGAGTAGAGTAGAGTAGAGTAGAGTAGAGTAGAGTAGAGTAGAGTAGAGTAGAGTAGAGTAGAGTAGAGTAGAGTAGAGTAGAGTAGAGTAGAGTAGAGTAGAGTAGAGTAGAGTAGAGTAGAGTAGAGTAGAGTAGAGTAGAGTAGAGTAGAGTAGAGTAGAGTAGAGTAGAGTAGAGTAGAGTAGAGTAGAGTAGAGTAGAGTAGAGTAGAGTAGAGTAGAGTAGAGTAGAGTAGAGTAGAGTAGAGTAGAGTAGAGTAGAGTAGAGTAGAGTGGAGTAGAGTAGAGTAGAGTAGAGTAGAGTAGAGTAGAGTAGAGTAGAGTAGAGTAGAGTAGAGTAGAGTAGAGTAGAGTAGAGTAGAGTAGAGTAGAGTAGAGTAGAGTGGAGTAGAGTGAACGTTCTGCGCAGAACCAGGAGCGTAATGCTGGTGGCGACTCCTCACTCTCTCCAGACCAGGTGAGTACGATGACAGCTAAGAGATTAAGAAAACAGTGCTGTTGATATTTTTTAAAGTCCTTGGGGCTACAAATTTACATTTCCTGCTCTTGTGGAAGGTTGAACAAAGATGAACTTGAGCTGTCACAGAGGATTTTGTCCTCTGTAATATGATTTAATAATAAATGGTGATTATTTGTGACATAGTCAAGTCTAGTTTCTGAGGGAAATAAAAGCAGAAAGTCTTTACCTGGAGGAAGTTTTACTTTTTTTCTTCAATGCAGTAAATGGGAGAAATGATAGACAGTAGGCTTGGATCAGGATTTGATTCCTTTGTTTATCTATTTATTTTGATAAGTTATTATTTTATTTATAATCCTCTTTCTTTCTGTCATTGTCATGATAACCATTTTAATTATCACCAACATTGCTGTTATTATCATTATCATCATTATGTTCTTTTTCATTAGTGTCATAATTTTCATTATTCTAGTGCCTGGTTTAGACCTACTTCATATTCACTGTAAATATTTTAGAATAACCTCTATATCATATGTTCATTGGGTGTGGTGTCTGTTAGTAGAGATGTAATGATAGTTTGCTTCTTACTTTCTTTAGGTGTTCTTCATATAATCCCTCTTGACTTTAATGAATGTCCAAAGTGCTTTATTCATCAGTGGTTCTTTCTGCTTTCATTTCAGGAAAATAAGAAAAACAGTCTAATAATCCTGGTAGGATGAAAATTGCTGCATTTCTTTTATTTACTCCAGCTGTCCTTGTTTCATGAAGGCCCCCCCCCCCTCCTGCCCTTTTCTCTCTCACCCCCCTTTTTTTGACTTGTGTGACTTGGGCCCCTCTTACCCTCAGTGCTGTGGTTGCAGCGTCAGCCTGAGTTTGTGGAAACAAAATCCCACTCTTTGTTTTTAATCCCTCGTGTGTTTGAAACCACCAAAATTGCATCAGCTCTTACACTCCTTTTTAATTATCTGACTTACATTTGTTTTGAGGAATAATCACCCCTGCTCGCTAATAGGTGTGTTGGTCCAGACGATTTTCTGAGTTTGCGTAATGGTGCCTCTTTCCTTTTATTTTGGACTTGACCCTCTCTTGCCTGTGCGAAACCTGAGCTCGAGGAGGCCACTTGGGAGCTCCTCTTGTTAATTTGCGGCACTGTGCCACTTGGCTTCACTCTTCACTTTTGATTCTTATAATATCATTGTTCTTGGTGGTGGGGACTGTTAGCATTGTGATTATTTGTTTGTTTGTTATTGTTATTTTTAGTAGTATTATCACTGTTAGTAATACTTCCATTATTTGAATGATTGTTATTACTATCATTATTATATTTATCATCACTGTTGTCATCATCATTATATTAGCTTCATCATTGATGTAATTAAAGTATCAGCATTGTTGGTGGTATTGTTATTTGTCATCATTAATGTCATTAGTCTCATCTTGTCACTGCCATAGTACAGTTAGTATTACCATCATTATTTCATAACCTATTTCAAATAGTTTTATATGATTTTGTGTCTCTTTTTACACACAAACACACACACACACACACACACACACACACACACACACACTCTCTCTCTCTCTCTCTCTCTCTCTCTCTCTCTCTCTCTCTCTCTCTCTCTCTCTCTCTCCCTCTCCCTCTCTCTCTCCCTCCCTCCCTCCCTCCCCCCTCCCCCCCTCTCTCCCTCCTCCCCTCTCCATCCATCCCTCTCTCCCTCTCCCTCCTCCCTCTCTTCCCTCCTCCCCCCTCCCCCCCTCTCTCTCTCCTCCCCTCTCTATCCCTCCCTCTCTCCCTCCTCCCCTCTCCATCCATCCCTCTCTCCCTCTCCCTCCTCCCTCTCTCTCTCCCTCCCTCCCCCTATCCTCCTGTCTCCCTTCTTCCCCAGTGGCTAGTGTAGACCTTTATAAAATTCATGCACTGTTGCTCAACATCAAATATATAGTGAGTTGTGTTGTACCACTCCACTATCTGCAAGCTTGGATGTGAGTGAAGACAGTTTTAGAGATCAAATATGTTAGATTCTTCTTCTTGGTCTACTGGTCTTGTTCCTTGTTTGTTTCTTTCTTTCTGTCTTTTTTTTCTTCTTTTTTCTTTCTTTTTTTCTTTTCTTTTCTTTTTCTTTTTAATCTACTTTCCGAGACAAAAGACTAAATGAAATTTTTTTTTTTTGCCTTCTCATTCATCTTCATCTTCATTCACCTCTTTTTGTTTCTATTCTTGTTCCAATATTATACTTGACCTTAAGAAAACCCACATGGCAGGAAGCAAGATGGTATCACAGCATTTTAGATCTTAAGGCCTGGAGAAAAGCTCTCTGTGGAATCTCACATACAAAAACTCTGTTTCCTTTGGTTTTGTTGTTCAAATCTGTTTTATTTGTCTTATGATTTTGTTCTCATTTATGTTAATCATTTATGGTTAGTAATGTATTTTTCTTGTTGTCTGTGTTTCTTGATTTTCTTGTTTCCTTTTAGTTCTTTAATACATATATGCCAAGCAAATGTGCATGTCTAACCATTTCCTGATTTCTTTGTGATGCACAGAGGTTCCAAGCGGTGAGTTGCGGGTGGGGGTTAGAGGCTAGACTAACAGCTAGACGTCACTCCTCTTAGTGTAAACACGGCACCCATTTGCCTTTAGATCAGCATTTGGATGCAGTTGAAAGATATTTGTACTTCATTATGAACTGATTGATTCATTGATTCAGGAAACTTGCCAAGTTTTTTCCTGCTATGTAAAAGCCTTATAATTTATTGTGTCAAATGTAGTGATTACTTTTTTCCAAGGTAGTGGAGCTTTAAGGAGGCCAGTGTTACTGTAGAAGTCATTTGTTTTTCTAGATTGCTAAACAATTTGTTTGAAGGTAAAATGCACAGTGATTTTTTGATGCATTCTCTCTCTCTCTCTCTCTCTCTCTCTCTCTCTCTCTCTCTCTCTCTCTCTCTCTCTCTCTCTCTCTCTTCAACTCTCTTCTCCCCTCCCTTCCTCTATCTCTCTCTTTTCTCTCTGCTCTCTCTTCTCCCTCCCCCCTCCCTCCTTCTGTATCTCTCCTCTCTTCTTCTTTCCTCCTCCCTACTTCACTCTCCCTCCTTCTCTCTCTTCCTTCCTTCCTTTCTTCTCCATCTCTTCTCCTCTCCCTTTCCTCCTCACTACCTATAGAATGCACTGTTTATAAAGCATAGTACCCTTGGTCTCCTGAACTCCTAAGGATGATATACGCACATTGTATTAAGTTTAAGCTGAGTCTCTATGTTTCCTTTAGAATAAATGACATCTTCTCTTTTCTCCTGTGGTGTGATCAGCACAACAATATGAAGGTATGAGAGAGATGAAAGACCCTTTCTGTCAGCAGTATTGCCTTTGCTTCCCACTTGTAGTTTGCTCGGACTCATGTCGTAGTCTTTCCTTTTTTCTTTTTTTTTTCTTTTTTTTTTCTGCTGCCTTGGTGTGCCTGTGCATCCACGTCCTGTGTATACCCTCAGACCAGAAGAGAATGAGATATATCAGGCCCCCTTCACATGAGGCAGACGCCCGGAGACAGAGTGGTGTGTTGCTGACTCGGGTGCAGAGGCCCATTGGTCTTCTCTTCTTCTGAAGTGGTGTCAGGACTGGGCCTTGCACGTGCGATGTCTCATCTAATATTTTGGGTTTTAACATTGCCTCTTTCGCTGCAAGCTTGTGGCTCAAGGTGTTTAGTTCATGAAAATTGTCACTTATTTTTCCAAGAAGTTTACTGGGTGATTGAGTTTATACACACACACACACATATACATACATACATACATATATACATACGTACACACATATAGACATGCATGCACACACATTGTATTTTTTCTCTCTTTCACATGCGCGCGCGCACACGCACGCACGCATGCACCCGCACACGCACACACACACACACACACACACACACACACACACACACACACACACACACACACACACACACACACACACACACACACACACACAAACACATACATATATATATAGACATACACACATATACATATATACATACATATATACACACACATATTTTTTTTTTTTTTT